TGTATTATTTTGTTTTACAATATTATATCAAAATTATCTTTATACTTTAAAAAGGCAGATATGTCATTAGCGTCCGTGTAGTGAAGATTCGAAAATCAGACAGTATAGATTCCTGAAATCCGTTTGCGTATCACGCGTTATTTTATTCAAATTTCAAGAAAAAATCCGTCAAGTGAACTTAGAAAATACACTGATTATTGATTATCATGTTAAAGTAATTATAACCTAGGAATTTCATACCACGTGTAAGTTAGCAAAAATATGTACATTATTGCTATATTTTGAGTATTTTTTGTTTATTCTTATGTATTATATTATATTCTTATAAAGTACTAAAATGTACTCTGTAAGAATGGTACAAAGTTCAAAGTGTCAAACTATATGCATTTTTTTAAGTTATGAGTAAACTTGTTACAACGTTGTGTTTATTCTGTTTTTTCCGCAGTAATATAATATAACGATTGTGTTTTAGACGTGTTCTCCGAGTGACGCGAATTTGATTCGTAAAATGTGTGTAAATATTAAATATTCTCCTACGTAATTTTTTATGGTTGTTGACATTAGTTAAGTATGTTTATAAATTTAACGTAATAGACAACACATCACTATATGCTAATATCTTGTGTAATTCGTTGCACATTCATCGTAAGTATAGTAAAAACAAGTTCAAAGTTCGTTTGCTTAGAACCGCTTTATAAACAGGATGTAAACATTCATTAGCGAACGAAGGAATGAAATCCTTTTTATCCTCTTCGGCCCTTTTCACCCGAGTACGGCGAAGCTAATATAAGGATTATGATTTTTACACGTATGTATTACAGAGGCAACACTCAATCGATATTGTTTGGAATTGTCTCGATTGTGTACATGTCGCGTAGGCTAAATATTTTTAAGAAAAAATCTAAAAATTAAAAATCATTGCGCTCCATTGTTACAAGCACCAAATTAAGGTCCTTTTTAAACATATATCAAACATGTTTATATAAAGTATGATGCTAAATAAATTTTTTTAAGTTTTTTGAATTCATGTTTAAAAAATTGTCTTATTCTAAAAGAAACAATAGAGCCTAAAAACCTAGGTTAATGCACAAGACACCCCTTCTATATAGAAGTGTTAATAGAATAGAATTGTGTGGATATCCACACAATATAATTAAGACGAAAACTACGATCATAATCACCGGCATGAGCAAATTATAATTTAGATGCGTGCGCTTGTATCGTTACGGTATACTGACTCTACAGACAGCATTCACGAATGTTAAAAATGACAATTGTTAATCTATATTCCGGTTATTACTAACAGACTGTAAAGTAGAGGCCACACTATACTATATTCGACAGACATAATAGTTTAAGAGCACGAAAGCTTGACACATTGGACTTTGGATTTCATTCATTCATTCTTTTAAGTCCGAAGTGTCAATCTTGACGTACTCTTGGCCCTGTACAACTTTATTACCTTTGAAACATCGGAATGAGTTAAAATAAGTCTTATTTTTCGTTCTTGATTTAAACTACTTAAGTAAAATATTTTTTTATCTTAATCGGGTTTTAATTTTGAATTATTATTTTAAAGTACCGTAAATCTGCAGTAAAACTACCGTAAGTACATTTTTAACACAGTTCGACAGGAAATTACATTAATTAGGATAATTTATAAAGAACTTAAGTACCCTAAATGAGATTGAAATTGATATTTAATTACGGCTACAGTCAATTTAGAGCGCGCTGGTTAAATGATTTAAGACGTGTAATTTACATGTTTTTATACAACTTATACATTGATATTTTATGTATAATTATATTTATTTTGCCGCTATAAGTTACAACTTATTCTTTATAGACGGAAATTAATAATCGCTGGTAACTTTTTTCAACGAAGAATTAAGGATAATGAACCAGAACGTTCATTGCCCTAAAACAGAGCTGAGAACTTTTTACGGAGATATTAATATTTTTCCACTTTATCATAGGATTTTTTTTTGGTACTCTTTTTTCCATTCTTAAACTGGAAAAGGCAAAGGCACTTGTGCGTCATACTAGACTGAGAGTAATTTCTTTCTTAACTTTCATTACAAGTAAGTTTACAAGTCTTCAATAGTGCTTCTTACAAAATGAAATTAAACTGGACCACATTTTTGATTTTACGTAACCTTAGTGTAGTAGTAACCCTAAGCAGGGATCTGAATACGTAGAGTTTTTTTTACCGAAACTTCGAGGAACGTAGACAGAAAATGGAGACCAATATTTGTTAGGTCGTGGACCTTTTCGGGATTCGGGAAATCACTTAAGAACATTAAAAATTGACGTAATTGGGGCCAGGCAGGCATCGGAGGCAGTTCATGCAGCACTTACTATTGTGCCCCTTGTGTCCTAATACCTGAACGAGGGAGGATCTCTACGCGGTTACGGACAGCGCAGTCAAGATAGCAACGTTCATATCACTATTCAAAATCAATATAGTCCTAAAATAAAAGAAGTATCGACACCATAAGATGAAGAAGAATCGTAAGCGGTATAGTACTGAATTTAAATCTTATCTTGGGGTGCTCTTGACCCGTGACATTGTACACAATGCCGTCACAGGGATTCGAACCGTCCACTTCGCAAATGATAAGCAATCGTCCTACCACTAGGTTCCTACCGCTCTTGCTATGCAAATGTTATACAATGAAATAAATCAAATTTCGATAATTAAAACATACAATTAAAAATAACGGTAGTTCTTTTTTATCACACTAAGTAACGGGATGAAGAAGTCGTGCGCCTAGCGGTAAGCGACACATCTGCTTTTATATGTATAGCTAAGGTAGTATTAGGTAGGCAATATTTCCATGAACGAACTCTTTCACAAAAAGCTGTACCGCTACTAAAAAGTAAAAGTAAATATTAGTTTTGTAGTGTGTCACGCGTCTAATCTAATTACAAATAAGTTACGCTAAATTGTTCCTTTAAGTATGAAACACAGAGAGATCGGGTGCGGGTCGGGACAGCAACGGGTCTAATTCCATGTATTTATATGGACGAGAACACACCGAGGGCAGGCGTGGTAACACGTATCTAGGGTCGGCGGACTAAAGCACTGTAAAAAAAGTGTTTCGTTTGTTAATATATAACTTATTATATATTTTTTTGTTTTGTTTATAGTGTTGGAAGATGTGAAGAGAAGGATAAATTTGAAAAAGACGACTCTAGAATAAAATTACAAATGTATGAAGTAACAAATCAAATTGACATATATGTGCTTTAGCCGGTAGATGTATTAATTTAAATGAATGCTGTTGGATTTTGACTTATGTGCTTTAGTCCGCAGACCCTAGATATGTTTCCGTTAAAAGAACAATTTAGGGCTATCGAGTAATTCTTTCTAGATTAATTCCTCTGTAACAAAATAAATTGCCTCCGTAGACGAACAACTACCGCACTGGACTGCCACGCAGAGGTACCGTGCTCGATTCTCGAGTCAAAGAGAAATATATGTATGGCTTGCATTTATTTCTCTCGTGAGTTTGGGTGCAATTTGTGGTTGTCTATGTGTGTGTCCTTGGCACTTTCCCTAGCGCGGAATCATGAGTATGTGCGCTAAAAAAGGGTTTCCCTAGTGCAGAACTACAAAACCGAATTCGAGTGTACAAAATACATTACAAATTAGCTCCATGGACTTATCCGTACGGACAGAGTTATCACCATTTAGCGCGATCTGTTTTAATATTTTTATTTGTGTACGACACAAAATCCTGATGAATTATTAAAGGCATGGAACAAAAGTAATTGTTTACGATGGAAGTAATATAGTCCCGCGAGGTTGTTAGTATTTTACAAATAACCCAGTATATACAAAAAAATTACCGACACCTGGCTATCAACTCGTATATATCATTTAAATAGTGAACTTAGGCTGAAAAATTATTAAGTACGCGTAGAACCCGAGATTATCTAACTGATAAAAACAATTCGACGTAACCTGATAAAACATGTAAAGACAAGCCTACACTTAATTTGTGTCAATAGTGTAGGCTAGAGTTGCCAGGAGTGCGATTTGCGCGTGACGTCCAATTATTGAAGAGTCTTACCTATATCAAATGCAACCATTGCGCGGGACGCTAAATATACTGTTTGTTGGAAGTGAGACTATTTTTTCCGACTTCTTTCAAACAAAGCAACATTTCAGACTCATCAAGAGTCCCATCAAATAGTTATTTCTAATATCAATGCAAACCACTATATTTTCAAATCTCATCAATGGTTACAAAAGTGAATAATTTAAATACCTTATTTATTATTTACCAAAAATTACTCCGATTTGCACTACATACGATTTCAAATATATTTATATATTTTTTTATAATATCAAGTGACGGGACCAACAAGTCGTATTTTTTACTAAATTCAATTTATTAATGAAAAACAAAATTGCCGCCAGGCAGTAATGTAAGCGTTATTGCGTTCCGGTTTCGAAGGTAAGGGTGCTGGTGAAATGACAGGCACATGTGACTTGTCAACTTACGTCTCAGAGTGACGGGTGCAGTGGCAGTACCTCTCAGGTCTTTGCGATTCAAAGCTTTGAGTGACACTGCAACTGTTATGGATAGGCGTGTCACTTACCACCACCACGACTTGTTCAACCCATCACATGGAATAAAAAAGAAGAGTAGTGTGCTTAACATAAAAGTTTTTATGCTGTGTATTTATAATAGAATTATACTACAAGAAACCCATGAAGTTATTTTTTGAGACTGTTTCAATTTGGAAAGGAGTTGTCCCATCCCATTTTGCGCAAAGTCGAAACTACCCAGCTCTACTGGGTGATGAATTTAATCTGTTATTATTATTACTCATGACACCATATCTTATCACTAACAGAGTCAGTAACAAAGCAAGTACCGCAGTGAACGCACGTGTTTCGCGCGCAGTATTATGTAAAGAAGTAATTTTAATTATATCTATTTAGTTAAATGAATGACGACAGCATTGTAGAATTAACAGAACAATAAACAATGAGTGCACCAAGTTACAGTCCTTTGGATGAAAATGAACCGAATGATTCTAATGCAGGAGTTGATGGAACTGGAGGCAATCATGAACAGTAAGTAATTATCCAACTAGTCACAAGACAGTATATAATTTTTGCTTTAGTTTTAGCACAATATATAACTTTGCTACACATTAATGTTTCTGGGAAGCAATGACATCACGTTCACCTCTACGACCGTAGAAGTCTGTATGTGTCCGAATCTGTTTAAATAAAGTATCCGTAAACTGAGCAATAAAGATGTTACTTGTATGAATAAGAGCTTAAAAACCAGGGATGAAGTGTTTCTTTATGTTGTTATTAAGCTATCGTCTTAATTTTACTATATCTTGATGAGATTGATGACTGTTGCTTAGTTTTGGAATAGACTATTTGTACCAATGTAAAGAGTGAAAGAGAAGGCGAGACCAAGCAGGTCGATTAAAAATTACATTTTATTCCGTTCAAGGTGAGGTTATAGGTTGTTTATATTGGTGCTTCAGTGCCGACCATGAACCTGGCTAGGTCAAAGCCAGTATCGATCACCCTAAAATGCTCTATAGAACTTGTCGGGCAGTGATATTGTTACACCATAATATTTAATGTGTTGTAACATAAATTTCTTGTATAATGTACAGAATATTGCAACGTTCTCATTCCTTACGCAATCGTTTTTTTTTTCTATAACGAACTTTGTGGAAGTACATCATAACGTAAATAAAGAAATTTATCCTAAACAGTAGACCTTATCATTTTTAGCAACATGGAAGAGACAAAAGAGAAAGAAGAAGAAGTACCCAGTATCTCCTATTTTACATTAGTAAGTGGACAGTTAGAAGTTGAATACAACAATAGTAAATACATTATCGTACGTTGAATACTTATTATAAAATTTGCATTTTCAGTTCAGATACGCAAGCGCAATGGATAAATTGTTTATAGTTATGGCTACTTTGTGCTCTACAGCACAAGGATGTCTTGACCCATTGGACACAATCGTGTTTGCAAATCTCCTACAAAGTATGGTTGATTATGGTAAACAATCAAATGATGAAGTTTTTCTAAAAGCAGTATTAACTTTTACACTATTCAGCTGTAGTATTGGAATTGGTCAAATTTTACTTCAGTATCTATCAACCGTTACGATGAATTGTTCGGCTGCAAATCAGGTATTTAATAAATTGGCTTTCTTTTTTAACACGACCTTTCTAACAAACAATTGACACACAATAGAATACTACATCTATCTGGATGTGGAGTTTCAGTAACAATGTAATAACGGGCACCAAAATTTCGATTTTATTCCCAAACCGAACCAATTATTGCAGTAACCAAGCCAAGCGTTAAGAAAAGTATCGCATTCATTCAATCGCCAAGTCTTTTGAGAAACCTAAATAAGAGCAAAATTAAGAATCGTTCATTTCTTGCCTTTATTTCCAGGTCTTCAAAATTAGACGAGAATACGTGAAAGCTGCTTTAAGCCAAGACTTTGAATATTATGACACACATAAAACAGGAGATGTGGCATCTAAAATAAATGCGTAAGTTCTTATAAAATAAAAGAAATCGTCCACTGAAAGCAATAATGATTATTTACTGTCACAGTACGTTTACAGTCTCTGCGTTTATCATATCTAACGTTATAGTATTTTCAGTGACATGAAAAAAGTCGAAGACGGTATGGGTGAAAAGATAGCAATGATAATTGTCAGCCTATCCTCGGTTGTTAGTATCATAATTATGACCTTCATTAAAGGGTGGAAATTGACTTTAGTATGTCTAGCTGCAATTCCGGCGCAGTTTATACTTTATATCGGTAGTGAAATGGTAAGAATTTTCTTTATTGTGACGTCTATGATTTCGTGAAATTATAATTTCTCTAACGCAAAACATTGGTCAATCTGAAAATGATGTTTTTTTGAGTTACGCAATTTAGATCTGAAAAAAATAGTTTCATTTGCAATGTATAACAATCGCGAAAACCTAAGAACTCGATATTGGTCAATGTAACAGAAAGTTGTATTCCAGACTACTTTAGCTTACTTAATCTAAACTATTCATCCGTTTGATGGTTGCACAGACTAGCCTGAACATATTCATTAATAATACTGTCTTCCAGATCCAGATCAGATGTCTTTTTTATTACTCAGAAAGCTATGCTCTATATAGCTATAATATAAACGATCAAATATATTTCAGATAACATCAGGACTATCTAAAAAAGAAAGTGCAGCATCTGGAGTGGCTGGAGCGATCGCAGATGAAGTTCTGAACTCTATACGAACCGTGTACGCATTTAATGGTCAACAGAAAGAATTGAAAAGATATCAAATGCAAATAAAAAAGATGAGAGTTATAAATATAAAGAAATGTAAGTCAATAAAGTTAAGTTAAGTAAGTAATTACTCCTATTCCAAAAAACAAACACATAATACAAATATAAAAATTATATTTCAGCTGCTATACAAGGTTTTTGTTATGGAACCATAAGCTTTGTAATTTTTGCTACATATGCTCTCTCGTATTGGGTCGGATACAAACTAATGACTGATGAACCCGACAACTATGACATAGCTACCACTATTGCGGTAAGTATAATTAACAAGAACTTTAAAAATATAGTCAAAGGCACTGTAGTATCTTAGTGTATAAATAAAATCAAATAAAATCTTGTTCGTTACGTCACTTCATAAAAAAATCAGAAAGACAGGCTCAAACGTTTTTCGAATAGCTATTATTGAACAATGCTTTTATGAATCTGTGAAACCTGTCTTTGTACACTCTTTAAAAAATGTGTGGACTGTTACTCACACGTTAATTTACATTTTAAATCAAGAGGTAGGAAATATTTTTTTACAGAACACAATAGCAATAAGGGCAACTCAACAATGTATCAAATGCAACAGTGTTGCGAGATCCAAAATCAATATCCAAGGGTCAGCCTAGGTTGTTACTAATATCTAATATTTTTTAAATCATTGATAATTAAACAATACACATTATTGGCAAAAGTGAAACTGTGGGTTTAGATACGTATTATATTTTAGAAAAAAATAACCATAATAGAGCGAAACTTACACATTTGTTTTATGAAAAAATATGTGTCAACATTAATAAATATCCAAATGGTCAATCAATGATTTATTATGATATAGAACACCTTCAAGAATAGTTGCAAGACATGTTTCAACTTTTTAAAATCAATTATATATTTAATTTTTGTATGTCACAAAATTTAATATCCATGATTTTTTATGAGACTTATTTGTTTTCAAAAAGTATTTGGCCCGAAATTACAATATACCCTAAATAAAACTTTAAACTCTTTATCGTAGGTTTTCTACGGAATAATGACAGCATCGACTAGCCTTACGGGCGTAATGTGGATAGGAAACGTGATTGGAGAAGCTACAGGTGCTGGAGCAAAGATTTTCCACCTGATTGATTATAAATCTAAAATTAATCCACTTCAAGAAACGAATTTGCGTACTCCAAATTATATTGAAGGAAGTATTGAACTCACCGATGTTGTCTTTCATTATCCATCCAGGCCGGACGTAACTGTAAGAAGCTCAAATTTTCGTTCGAAAAATCGTTTTATATTGAACGTAAAGTAGTTGCCCCATTAAACGAAGGAAGATTATTAAAATACATGTAATTTTTACCATGCTTGCAGGTACTAAAAGGTGTAAGTTTAACCGTGAAAAGAGGTCAATCCGTAGCTATTGTAGGTCACTCAGGTTGCGGAAAATCTACTATAATCCAACTCATCTCCAGATATTACGATGTCGTCGATGGTGAAGTAAATTTTCCGTTCTTTATTAAAACATTTGAAGTAAACGGAATGCAACTGTATTGTTGTATGTTTTTTGGTTGGTATCGACGATAAAGCTTTTCTTATTATATCAATCTTAGGTGTCCATTGATAATTATAATGTTCGAGATCTTCAAATCGCTTGGCTTCGTGGGCAAATTGGATTAGTGAGACAGGAACCAGTGTTATTCAATACAACCATCAGAGAAAACATTCGCTACGGCCGGGAGGGATCTAGTGATATCGATATACAATCCGCTGCCAGACAAGCCAACGCCCACAACTTTATCATGAAGTTACCTAAGGTAAAGATCACATTATTTATTTCTAAGAACATGCATGTACAAACACAACTAATTTAACATATTTGATCACAGGGTTATGATACATTGGTAGGCGAGAGTGGCGCCTCACTTTCTGGTGGTCAGAAACAACGCATTGCAATTGCTAGAGCTTTAGTACGGAATCCAACAATACTTCTTCTTGACGAAGCCACGAGTGCTTTGGATAGTTATTCTGAAGCTAAAGTTCAAAAAGCGCTAGATAAGGTTTATATTTATACATTTAATTTAAACAATTAATCATAATCGACATATCACTAACATTTCTATCCCTTAAATTTGCGAAATATGTGAATGAAATGATTATGAAATTTCAGGCAAGAGAGGGAAGAACAACAATAGTAGTGGCACACAGACTATCTACAATTAGAAATGTAGATGTTATATACGTCATGAAAAATGGAGAAATTGTAGAAGTGGGAAAGCACGACGATTTAATGGAAAACAAAGGCCATTATTACGATATGGTTACACATGCTGCGCCTGTTGGAAATGAAGGTAAAACTAAAGTCAAAGAAGTTATTGAAAATGTCACTAATTATTCATTACGTGTCTTTAAATGCTTACTTTCGTGCAGTCAAAGTATCGAGCCCAAATACTTCAAATAAAGACTTATATGAAGATTCTGATGATGACGAAACGTCGGAATTTATAACAAAACGAAACTTGATCCGAATGGATACTGTAAGTATAGTAAACTATTGTATATCGACGTAATAAATGACAATTGATCTGGTTTTTACAGAGAGAAGAATAATTTAATTTTGTATTGCAGGTGAACGAAGAAGACAAAAATCCGAAAGTATCATTTTGGAGAGTAATACAATTAAACGCTCCCGAATGGAAGTCTATAACTATAGCCAGCTTAATTTCCGTCGTTCATGGTTTTACTTGGCCCATTCTAGGAATCATACTAGGAAACTTTATTGGTGTAAGTGAAAAGAACTTCGGATCGAAATTGTCACTCCAAAAGCTTACCTTCTAATATTTATTCCGTTTTCTAGGTTCTTTCAAACCCAAATAAAGATGAAGTGCTAAGCTCAGTAACACTGTACTGTATAATATTTCTAGGAACAGGTGGAGTTGCATGGCTACTGGAATTTCTAACCGTAAGCACCTTTACTTCTGTTCATTCAAGACCTCTAAACTATAAAAAATAAATATATTTATGACATACGCTTGTTTGTTAGACATTTTTTTACACAATTGCCGGTGAATATCTGACGGAACGATTAAGGAAAAGATTATTTGAAAATTATCTTCAACAAGAACTGGCATATTTTGATGACAAGAAAAATTCTGTTGGAGCTATCAGTGCAAGACTATCCGGCGATGCTGCAGCTGTAGAAGGGGTAAATATTATTTTAATAAATATGTCTTATTTACAAAGCAATACCAAAAAAGTACAGAACCAAAAAAAATGAGGCAGAAAAGTCAGTGCGTTCATACTACGTTGTAATATCTAAAAATTTATATTTTTTAAATCTTTATTTATTTAGGAACTTTTGTACCATGTATATGCCAGTTTCATCGTCTGGGCGGTGCTGCTGGAGAGCCGATTCAAGAAAAAGTAACAGTCTTTTTGCCTGTTTTGTGTGGGGATTGCGTAGTACAATTTTTTTTAAATTTATAGCACCTACGGATGTTCGGTTGATCTGCAGGTCTCTCATCAACGCCGCCCTCCGACCAGGATCGTGTTAGTTTTCATAAACAACCTTGTTTATTTACTCTACGCTTTATTTATCTTACTTTACATGAATTTTTAGGCAACGGGACGTCGGATTGGGACCATAGTAGACGCGTTTGGATCACTTATCTTTGCTCTAGCTATGTCTCTGTACTACGAATGGAGAATCGGACTAATTTCTTTAATTTTTATCCCACTCACTGCTGTACTTGTACACCGCGAAGGGCAAATGGTCATGCAAGATTCCTTTATGACGGTTGAAGCTATGGAACGTAGCACGAAGGTAAATTTTGTTACATTCTTATAGATTGCATTATTATTTCGTGACAAAAATTCATTCATTCAGTCATGTTTTCTTCTAGATTGCAGTAGAAACAGTGTCGCATGTCCGTACAGTAGCCTCTTTAGGTAGGGAAGAACAATTTATTATGGAATATTGTGCAGAATTAATGCCTGCTCTCATTGCTGCTAAGCGGTCCGCGCACTGGAGAGGAATAATTTATGGCTTCTCAAGAGGCCTTAACTGTTTTATCTACGCCCTTACCATGTATTATGGAGGAAATTTGATTGTCTATCACAAAGTCGATTATTATCTTGTTCTCACGTAAGTATTCATAGTTGAACAATTTCTTTTAATTTTATTTGAAATAATTGCGCAATAATCCGGTTTGTACAAGTTACTTGTTTATTTGAGTAGTGTCCTAAATGTTATACTTAATACTATAATTTACAGTTCATCACAAGCTATTATGTTGGGTGCTAGCTGTTTTGGCGCAGCTTTTGCTTGGGCTCCTAACTTCCGAGAAGGTTTGAATGCTGCTGGACGTATTATAACTTCGTTAGCAAAGCAATCTACTATTGTCGACCCAGATACACCTGCTGTTGATAATTTTGTGAGCATAATACTCATTAGCCTCGATTCACAAACTAATCTTAATTTAAGTTCTTCTAATACTTTCGTTAACAGTAAAAAAAGGAGGCAAATTATATTAAAACTCTCAAGTTAGTCGACCCCTGTAAACTAAAAAACGTACAAGACACGTATCTGACAAAATTTAAAGATATCAACTAAAATAAAAGCTTCCTAAGCATTTAGAACGAGGGAGATACATGCACTAAACTTAAATTTAGTTTTGTTTGCGCCTACCCTATTCAACGTTACTATTGTACACAATTGGCACACTGGCTTTGTCACTACCATAAGTTAAAAACCATGATTTTATTTATGTGTTGTTATCAGCGTATGCAGAAACTTCCCTAGTTTTTAATACAAAATTTGAATACTCGGGGCAATATCGTAAAGTCACCTAATGTAACTTTTGACAACTGATCTGTAGGCTAATAATTCGAAAACATAACCGTCACTTTTTTAATTGATACGTTTGCCAGTTATGAGTTGTGTGGTTGATGAAATCCGTGTGCGAATTGATAACAAGATTTTAATCTCAATTTTTACATACAGAATGGAACAGGTGAAGTTAGCGTCCAGAATGTTGATTTTAACTATCCTACAAGACCGTTAATCAAAGTGTTAAATAATCTAAACATGAAGGTAGAAACAGGCAAAACTGTGGCACTTGTTGGTGAAAGTGGATGTGGGAAAAGCACAGTCGTGCAACTAATTCAAAGATTTTATGATCCTGACGAAGGAGTAGTGGTACGTAATTCAACATACTACAAGAGAAACTTTGTAGAAATCTTCGATAGGTTATACAATTATAGTTGTTACAAAAACATTGAAGTTAAAATCTTCGTATAACCAACAAAACAGTCGTTATTATGTTTTAATACTACTATTAAAAAAGATATTTGTTGATAATAATTTCCCCTAGCAAAGATGTCATTAATTTTCAGACTCAAAATAACATCCCGATAACCAAGCTACGTTTAGCAGATGTCAGAAAAATAATAGGATTTGTACAGCAAGAACCAGTGTTATTTGATAGAACTATAAGTGAAAATATCACTTACAGGGACAACTCTAGGGAACCCAGTATGGATGAAATCGTTGAAGCAGCTAAAGTGGCGAATATACATCAGTTTATTGCTGCTTTACCAAACGTGAGTATTACTATGCAATTATAACGATTAGCTACTTCATTGACTTACAATTATATTGTAAGTCAATGACCTACTTTGTAATTTTTATCGAATACGATGATGTTTGATATCGTGGTAACGATATCTTTTTTTTTTGTAAATTTCTTAACAAATTTGTTACAATTATTAATAACAAAGATCAAACATAAAGAAAAATTCCTTCGATCTGACAGGTCTCGAATCCTCGTCTGTTTTGCCAATCTAAGGCAACCGCTCTACCAATCGAAAAGTCGATCTGTAGCTCAGTTAGTTCCAATTTCTACTAATTGAATGCTCGATCTTGTCAGAGCTCAGTTGGTCAGAGTTCTTTGTATTCGATCTTCGTGATAAATAATAATGATTACTTTGTAAAGTTGGATTGTTTGAAAAACAAATATACACGATTTAGATCCAAAAAATAGTTTCATTTCCTGGTTACTAATTTTCAAGAACATTGCGAATTGTTTGATTAACGAGATTTTGATCGACTTGTATAGCATCGATTTGTTTAATACGTTACTGTAAAATTGATTTTTACAACCAGCTGTGGATAAGTGAGACCTCCAGTCACAGGTATTTCTTTATCCACTGGGAGATTTCAAACTTGTACTACTACTAGACAATAAGGAATAAACATTTTTTGTTTTGGTTTATTCTATGTAAATTTTCATAGCTTAATAATAATAATGTGACCGACGTTCACACTAATTATCTGGTATCAAACTAGTAGCAAAGCAGCAATATTAGCGCTAGGGTACTACCCAGAACACTCAGCCCAGAACCAAATTAGGAAAATTTGTTTCTCAAATAGGTCGTACCGAGAATCAAACCCGATGCCTCCTCATCTAACGCCCACAGTGGTAAGTGCTCGGCCACAGATGTCTTCAAATCCAATGAAACGTTTAACTGGAAGGCTATTTTATATTTTTCATAGCACGACTACACTTCAGGGCGTGAACTCGATGAAATTTTCCATAAGAGTTATAATATTTTGTTACATTATTTTAGTTTTGTAATTTACGACATAATGAGAGGTCTGTTCCCAGCGGTTTTTATGAAAAAACAATCCCAGTGAGCCTGTCTCTGAAGTTGCAAAATCAAAGAGGTAGACGAACGCTGCTGTACCTGTTGCGACTGCATTACTCCACGAAGTCTGAGGAGATAGTGGAGTAGATGTACTCCGTAGATGTAGTCTGATGAGACTAAAAGCCAAATACACCCTGAGGGTCGAGCGCCACAATGTAAATTTTATTTCGTTTGTGGGGAGAGTGCCCATCAAAGAAGGAGTTTTGGCCGAAGGGTGTCATATACCTTTCGGCGATTCCGAGGCAGTTTACCTGACAGCAGATTGCGCCTCACGACGCTGACAAATGCACTTCGCGTAGATTAGTTGTTTCGTTTTAGTATTACCCATATATGTATGTAGTACTTAATGTATAATTATATTGGGTGAAGTTGCCAGATTTAAATGAATGAATAAAATAAAGTAAATAAAAAATATATAGACTAACCATTATTGTTATTTATTTTTACAGGGTTATGATACTAACATTGGATCGAAAGGCACTCAACTGTCAGGTGGGCAGAAACAGAGAGTAGCCATTGCGAGAGCGCTGATACGATCACCAAAGCTACTGTTATTGGATGAGGCCACAAGTGCTTTAGATAATGAAAGTGAAAAGGTAATAGATACATGTCATAGATAAGACACTGATAGTGTTATTCGTTATTAATTAAAATCCTTTTCTGGAGTAATAAACTTAAGTAAAGTGAACAGCAAGCTTGATTTTACCATTAAAGTCCAACTCTAAGTCACAATAAGAACGGTCCCAAGTTTAAAACTAGATGTGCTGTTGACTGAAAATTAAATGTCCACTTGCACTAAAATTAAGTACGTCTTAAGCCTATGCTTAAATTGATAAGTGTACGATACACGATCGTACATTTTGCAGGATCAGCATGTTATGCCATTGACCGCTATTTAGGTTAATGCACTACGGAATGCACTTTAGTTATAAAACTCACTTGCTCGCCATCGCACATTCATCTATCAGTTATCATTTAAGCAGTTCGTTTAGCAATAAACTTCTAAATCCTATCAGACTTATCATTGAAAGGTGAACAAACCGTACAATAAGACACTCTAAACAATGTCCTAAGAGTGTATTTTGCATTGCAAGCATTAAGACGTCCTAAGTTTAGTGCAGAAACATTTAAATTTAAAATTTTAATTACCCGCACTCTACAAAAATTATTGATGGAATTCGATACGTTCAATATGCATACTTAGTTCTGTGGTTTTCGCGATTACTGTATATTGGAAATGAAATAACTTTTTTAATCTAAATCACGTATTTTTGTTTTTTTTTTTTCATCTCATAGAATCAGCCGTGACCAGTAATCTCGAAACATTCATTTGTTTGAAAAACAAATATATGCCATATTAGACCCGTAAAAATAGTTTAATTAAATATGACATTTTCAGAAGCTTCAAATTAAAATCTTTATTCTTACGTAAAAAAAGCTCTTTGTCAAAATTTTCATAATTTTCAGGTAGTACAAGAAGCTTTAGATCGTGCAAAAGAAGGCCGCGCTTGCGTAGTAATCGCGCACCGCTTGAGCACCATTCAGGATGCAGATAATATCTGTGTCATGCGCGGTGGATGTGTTACAGAAAGCGGCACTCACGCGCAACTCATGGAGTTGAGAGGGTTGTATTATGAACTTAATTTAAAAGGGCAAATGTAGATTTACTCGTCTATACAGGGTTACTTGTAAAATACTAACAACCGCGCAAAACTGTGTTACTAACATCATAAGCAACAACTTTAAACAAATAAGTTTATCAAAAATATTTTTTTGTTGTACTATGTACTGACACTGTTTAGATCTGTATTTGGTAGAGAGAGCTATGTCATACGAAGCGTTGCGACACGCCGCCGACTGAATGGTGAGGCTGCGTTGTACTACTTACAAATTAGATGTAGAAGGGTGCGTTGTAAAGGCGCGCGGTGACGGAACGGACAAGAAGCCATAAGGGCTAGCACGTTAGGGTGCGACTAGCGCCAGAGCGACATAAAGCGCGAGATACTGCTATTTTCGCAAAGAGATGTCGCGCTTTATGTCGCTCTCGCGCCAGTTGCGCCTTGTCGTGCTAGCCCTACAGGAGACGAAGCGGGGAGGGGTGCGTTGCGATACCGCTTTGTTCGCGTGGCACTCGGTGCTTTAAAATTATAGCGTTGCGACGACGCAATGCACCGGTAGCGCCCAAGTAGGATTACATCGCTCTAAATTCACACGTACAAGCGCCCTTCCCTGCGGGACGACCCCCACTCCTGCCCCTAGGTTGTACATCGGACTGGTGCTTACGCTAGCGCTTTCTTTTGGTACAGCATAGAGTAATCACGGTTTAGGCCGATCTAAATAGATATTTTTTATTTTTAAATATTTTTATTTTTGTAAATGAATTAATAAAAGTCATGGTACAAAAGTTGTTGTTTATGACATTAATAATGTAGTCCTGTGAGGTTGTTAGTATTTTAAAAATAAACCTGAAATGCGCAAGTTTTTGACAAAGAACCGAATTACAATTTAAAATAAAATATGTACTTAACAAATTTATAAATGTGTAGTAATTTTATTTAATTACCCGATAATAGCTATTAAGAATTAAAAAAAAAAGTTTCTATAATCCGCACTTGTATTATCAGGTCCATGGTGATTTTCGTATTATTACAAATACGTTGACGTTCATTTGTCACTTTCTACGACGTTAAAGAAATATTATGGAGCAGTATTATTCGAAAGAAGCCAAGTAACCAAGCAAATTATAGGTTTTTTTTTATTTTGGAGACAGAATTTTAATTGTACTCAAAAACAAATTTCAATTCAAAGTCAAATAATAATTTATTCCATAGGTAAAATGTTTACACTTGAAAACGTCATATTTTAAGCTACTACTCGTTCACTACGCTGACCTCCCTGAGAAGAACGAGCAAAAAGCTCCAGGGATTGCTCTTTTTTTAAATAAACTTAAATGCTATGGAATACACTATGGAATCTAGACTCGTGTTGTCTTTCCATACGTCTAACACATACTCTTCCATTTTTAACCAACTTCGAAAAAAGGAGGAGGTTGTCAATTCGAATATATATTTTTTTATGTAATATGACTGTTCAATTAAAATACTTTTAATGTAAGTTTTAAACTTAGGAAATGTAATCTTAATATATGCTCGAGAATTTTATTGTAAAAACGTATACAGTTCCCCATAAAAGAATCGTTTACCTTAGTTAAATTGCCAAATAGTGGTAGTAATAGGTTTTCCATACAAAAAGTACGCGGTCGGTGGAGCATCTATATCTTTGGTTTTCGGTATAACTTTTTGCTCATTTTTTACAATCAGCTTTTGAAATGTATTCCGTTGCTAAATAAACATCTTTTATGTAATAGAATTCGCCTTGACTTCTATTATTCAATCTATTATCGTAAATTTCCAAAGCAATTTACGTCTTACCCAATTTACAATAAACATGAATGCGATAGATATCTCAATTTAGACCTGACAGCCAGTTAATTTTAACGTAACTGGGCCCTTAAGGTGAAATTGTCCAATTATCTTTTCTTTTAATAAGTCATTACTATTCAAGTTTTTAAGAAAGATATTTATGAAAGTACCCCAACCTAACTAATATGCAAATAAGTCAGTAATCTTCTAAAATTTTAAAACTCAATTTGACTTGCATTTGACGACCTTGGTTCCCGTAAGAACCAGTATAGGCAGCAGTAGAGCTCCTGGTGAAAGAGTTCATCCAGGTAATTACTGCCACCACACCTATTTCCGCAGCCAAGCAGTAACGTGAGTACTGCACTTCGGTTTTGAAGGGTAAGGGTGCTAGTAAAATTACAGACACATGGGACTTGTCAACTTATGTCTCATGGTGACGGGCGCAGTTTCAGTACACTTCAAATCATTGCGATTTAAAACTCTGAGCAGTACTGCAACTTTTTTTATGATACTAAGTAGCGTGATGAACAAGTCACAAGCCTGATGATAAACGACACGCTTTTTCATAAACAGTTCAGTGCCACATTTTGTTGCACATTAAACATTACAATAACACAGAACACTAATATAACTATATAAAAATAAGCAAAGGCGTCCTTATGCTAAGGGGCAGTTTCTTTCAAGCAACCATGCAATTCAATAATAATATTAACTTAGATAATTTTTTTTAATAACGCACACACTCAACATAGCCCCGCTCTAGGGAGACCTTGTGTCGCGGGTGCCATGGACACACACATAGACAACCACAAATTACACCCAAACTCACGAGAGAAACAAATGTAGGCCATACAAATATTTCTCTCCCGGCCCGGGAATCTATGCGTGGCAGTCCGGCATGGTAACCGTTCGGCCACGGAGGCAGTTATAGTGTTTAGTAATAGTGTAGTTATAGAGAGAAGAGACTAAACTTATGAATTTACTTAAGACTTAATACTAGTACGTAACACTTCCTTGCTTCCTAAGGATCCACGAATAGATTCAAAAAGGGAATTCCACAGTCTTATTTTTACCAAAATATAGCAGAATCGGTAAAAGACGACTCTTAAACAAAAAAAATATTCATATATTACACTTTTTCAGCTTTTTCTTCATAAAAGTTTAACGGAAAACAAACGAAACGAAAGTACGAAGTGTGGATTTAGCACCATTTAATATTAATGGCGTCGATTCAGAGAAATGCAAACTTAACTTAATTTTGGTTCAGTGTCCTAAGTGCACTTGTCTCTTTCGTTGTCAAGACAGGATTTTAATTTTAATTTTGAGTAAAAAATAAGTTTTTGAAATGATAATTATAAATACATATAAAGACACAATGCAGAACATTTTAGAAGATAGCGTTGTGGTACGAAAGATGATATTATAGTTACCAAGATAGCGAGGAGGTGCTTCGTTGGTTTGGTCATATAGAAAAATGAATGTTGGTGGATTAACGCACAAATTTATATAGCGAATGTGGATGGAGGTGTGGGGAGAGGTAGACCTCAGCCCATATATCTCAATGACGTTGTGTATGTAATTAAAAAAGGCTAAAAGTACCAAGATTATGCGAACGGCAAGGATAAACGAACATGTATGAAGAGACTGATGGGAGTTGAAGAGGCGAAAGAGGTTTGTCAAGAGCGTAGCAGGTGGAGGTCTATGATCTCTGCCAACCCCCGTGGGAGACAGGATTATACATATATATATATATATATGTGTGTGTGTGTGTGTGTGTGTGTGTGTGTGTGTATAAATATAAAAAAGGTTAACCAAAACTAGGTCTCTATTCCGGCGCATGAGACGTCATTTCGTTACGTTGCGGTTCAAATTTCTGTAAAAGAGGAGTATAAGTTTGATTTGTTGCCTATGAGACTGTAAGATTGGTGCCGTTGTAGCTCGGTAACAATTGTCCATGTTCTATTATAGTACTTTATCATGCACTTTGCCCATTGCAATTCCAAACCTGTGATCTGTTATGAAATGTTTCCGGGGTAAATAATAACAATATTCATTAGCCAGACAAATACGCTAATTACCTACCCGAACTTGAGAATTATATGTACAGTCAACAGTACATCAAGCTATATTATATTTTTGTTCAAATATCACTCACAGGGCAGTTGAACAAGATCCGTCAATGTTTAACTTGATATTATACCGTCCATTCTATGGGTACCAAAGCAAGGAAGTTCACTCGGGGGCACTACCTAGATCAAGCACACCACATTCTAGAAAAGTTCATTTCCCAAATTGATCCTACAAGGAATCGAAGTCACGACCTCTTTATCAACTGGTTAACGCGTTGGACAACCGAAATCGTCAAAATTACTTGCGATCACGACTACCAGATAAATACCACTAATAAATAAAAGTTACTTTTCACTTACCTACGGCTTAAAATCGTTGCTAAGTCTTTATCAATTAAGTACATTATTTTAGTCAATTGAAATGGTATTATCCATTGTGCTAAAGATTATTATATATTAATAAAAGATTTGATTAGGTTATTAATAAAAGAATTGCATCTCTAGATTGAAGTGACATCTCAGCCGAAACGCATTTAATACCGGACTTAGGAGCTGTTGGCCTAAATTACAGTAATTTATTCATGACCTTAGAGGTTTCATCAGGCTTTTAAGTTGTTCCAAATCTAATAAAACAGATTTACGACTCAACTAACTCCTTAAAAACACAGTTGACGTAAGAAAGCTGGCAGGTAAGTCTATAAATTTATAACTATTGACTTTTTTACATTTAAAGTTATAAGTACAGTATACAAAATGTCGATCTGTGCAAAGCACATTTTAAATTATGGTAATGTAATGGTTCGTTAATTGAGAATGTCAAAGAAATACGAGCTACTTTTAAATCTCACATAGATAAAAATCTAAAGCCAAAAGACATACTAAATAATATTAATAACAAACAATGTCAAACATAAATAACAACAATAACCTGAATGTTTATCTAAATCCTCGAATTGGGGTCACTAATTAATTCCGATTAGGGTAACATTAATCACTTATTCTGAACGAGGTTGGTACGTAGTTTTGACCGCTAATTGTTAGTTGTATCTTCTTATCTATAGAGAAGTTTTAATTTTGGTTAATATTTGGGTTCGAAATTATCAAACATTTCTTTTCTTTGATAATTATCATGTTAATTATCCGATCACTATCCTTGCTGATTCATAGTCTTGTCTCTTTAAATTTTGACTAAAAATGTCAAACAGCGGGTAAACTAAATGAACATGAAGACTTTTTTTAAATGATTTGTATATACGTTTTATTCGGCTCAAAAAAAATTATGAACTGTATTTTTTTTTTGTATATATCTTACGCGATAACTTTGGCCGGCATTTGTGAACCGACTTTGATGATTATTTTTTGTTGGAAAGAGGGTACCTCAGTATTGGTCCCATTTAGCATTTAGTGTAGCAAACTATGGATAAATCCGGTTTCGTGCACTTTCCGGTA